ACTGTGCCAGCCCTGTAATTACTAAAGAGTTCCAGGTTGGATCATAATATATGCAAGGTATCCTACTATATTATTTTCACTATGTATGTTATGTTTGGTTTCCAGTGTATAGAAAATTCTTTCCACCACAACACCATGGACTCATCAAGGTATTAACCTCAATATACAGGGTTTTTTTTTTGGGGGGGGGGATAGTTGATGGATGTGCTATTCAGAGTTAACTATGCTAGATTCAATGGGCCAGGGGCATGATTAAGAATTAGGCAGCAAAAAACAAAAAAGCTAAAACTTGATAAAGACAGAGTCCAATGAGTAAAGCAGCTTCATTTGACAATATTTTAAAAGATTTGATTATTACATGAGATTTAAGACTGGAACTTGGGAAATTTCCTATGCAGATATTATTAATCATGTGACACAGTTCCTACTTTTTCTCCCTGCCCTTACCGGCAGTATGCCTTCTCTTCCCAAGTTACTGAATTACAAATAATACGAGTGAATTCACAATATCAGTGAAAGTCATTCTTGATCTTGCCTCTCAGTTGAAACTCTCCAGAAGAGAAAAATATCTGACTATGAGTAAGTGCATGCATAGCGCTTCTATGCTCTTCTTAAAGCAGTCCCAGGCTGCTGTATGAATCTGGGCAAGGCAGGAGGGAGAGAGATGATTTTGCTTTAAGGGATCTTTTCACTGAAGTCAGTATGAGTCTTAAAGCAGTGATGCAAAGAGACACCTGGCCAGATCAGAATAGACAGTAAATCGTATTATTCCACCTGAAAATTTAAGAGACTGTTATAAGCCAAAGTTCCATGTATGAACAGAATAAGTATTGAATTGGAACTGCCTTTCTGAAGGTAAATCAAACAGAAACAATTGCTGTTTATAAGAATTACCTCAAATAAACAAACATCCTTTTTTTAAAAGAATATATTGTTGGGAAGTTAGTACTTGTCAAGAATTGAATCTAACCATGTTTTGGGGAATACATTTTTTATAATATATTAGTTCCTGGTCAGAGATGAATGAAAATGATCCTATTAAACATAGTTCAGCTCTTGTGGCACTGCCTCTTCATAAATGCATAACAGACCTCGTGCCAAATAAATTAATTGTGTAACTAATGTTAAACTGAAGAGTTGCTGCTTCAGGTACCATCTTGTTCTGTTGAAAGACTGGATGCCCTCTAAGGCAGGGCTGTCAAACTTGCAGTCTGGGAGCTGGATGCATCACGATACGTCCCGTGATACTGCTATGCAACGTGTTTGACATCCCTTCCCTGGGTAACAGAAATTCATGGATGCATTGTGACCCATCCAATTGAAATGATCTTAGTCTTATTGTTAAGCAAAATTTGGTTTATCTTTTAAAAAGTATATAACTGATGATTGAAATGTGTGTCATAGTCTAATATAATTTTCATTTATGTCTTGTTGTGTGCCAAAAAAAAACAGGTTATAAAATGAGAGAAATGCCCCTTTCTGTTTCTTCTTAAATAAAATGATGATTTGCTTTTATTTTTTCTCCACTCTTTTTCTAAATGTAGAGCTTCCTGAAGCAGCATCTATCCCGCTGAGCCCAATATGTGGAACTGCTTTTTAAGCCTCTTTGATTAATTTCAACTCTGATATTTGCCAGGCTACTGATACTAATGTAATCCTATTGGAAGAGAGCTTCTCCCAGGTTTAGTAAAATTGGTGTAAAACTGTAATGCACCCTGGGAAAAGACTTCCAGGCTTTTGATGAAAAAATGATGAATGATATGAACCATGAATGCACTCATGTTCCATTTGCCAATGTAAACCAAGTGGGGAGCAGTGGAATTTAACATATGGAAAGGCAGTAAGCTGGATAAACTTTAAATTTGGAAGGGCAATCTTGCTCATAAATTTTAGCTCCTAAGATTCTCTGCCAAAAGTTAAGCTTCAGCGATGGATCATTGCTCAGCTTGTTCATCCTGTGCCAAATGTAGCAAGATCTGAAATCCCCTTTGTGAAACAAAATAATATCAGGCCCATGGTGTTTTGATTGCTCAGTAATTTATAACTAATGTTTTGAAGGAACTTTTGGAATAATTATACAACTTTTGCTCCGGATAGGATCTGTAAGATCCATAGTGTCCATGACAGAGAGTCTTGCCTAGCCTTTGTTTATACTGTATACAAGATTGCCTGTTATGCAGTTGAACAGCCCTTAGCCAAACCATGTTTTCTCCCAATGTCTAAATAAAATCTGCTCCTTGCTTCTCTCTGTCCCCACTTTTAGTCATACACTTTAGAGCAATAAATAATTCTGTTTCATTTTCTGGAATAAATTGCTATCACCAATTCCATTTTATTTTGTCTTTTAAAACATCGTCTTCCTTTTTTCTGGGAATGTTCTTTGATTGATATATACAAAAACCTCTACTGAGTGCAGTTTCTTCTTTTAGAATGGTAGAGCATTCAAAGTACTGTTCACAGTATCATAAAACAAAACTCAAATATAACATTTAATAATAAAATTAATATGCCATATTGATAAAAGAAATACCCTTTTGTTGTATTGCATGGCAACAAAAACATTTCTGAAATGCACTTTCAGAAGCTCAGTTCATATAATCAAGCATCAACTTAGAACCAATGTCATAATAACTTCAAGATCTGGAGGAAATGCCTTTCCTGCCAAATCAAAATAATTTCAAAATTAATAAGACAGATACAGTTAAAATGATGTTAACTCAATTAGTAAACATGCTGTATTTCAGGTTATTATGTCAGTAGTGTGTTTCAGTCATTTCTGCCACTGGCTGTGTTTTAAACAGCTGCCTTACAATGCTTCTTAGAACCACAAGGAAGCTGCAATCTTTGGTAATTTAAAGCTTTCTTTGCTTTTCATCGGACACTTTGATTCTTTGTATATAAGACCAGTGCTTCTCTTTCCCACAGCCCTTTCCTTTGCCACTCTGAATCCTTGGTTTATATGCTTGAAGGAAAAAAATCTTGATTTCAATATAAACCTACGAAAGAAAAAAGAATCAGTTATGAACTTCTGCAATAGAGGGTTTAAACGGAGCACTTTCTTGAAAACTCAGTAGATAAAAAGTTTACAAGACCTTAGAATAAAGTCATGCTGATGCCAAAATCCCTCCTTGTTGGAAAAGGCTGAGGGCTGTACATACGCAATGGTTTCTCACGTTCCATCCAAATTATATCTAGTATAATTTTGTGTCAAGATTAACCAGTTGCTTTGGAAACCTTTAACTCTTTGGATGTTGTTGTTCTGTGGTGGACAGTTTCCACTCCTGACTCTAAAAACTTTGGTTTCTTTTTATCAAGGATGAGACGTGATAATAGTATCACTGTATGCCTGCTATTGGACCGTTAAATTTACAGCTGTCTTTCCTCATCATTCCTGATTAAAAGTTAAAAATAAACTTAGGGTTAAAAAGAACTTTAAGACAAACAAAAAGAAGCAGTAGTTGTCAAATGAACATTTGTTGGCTCTGTGTGGTAAAGTCCATTTTCACAGTAAATTCCCAGGTCCCTTTAAATTAGTTGATGCAAGCCTTTGTACAAAATTATCTCTGTATCATGTTTGTTGACTCATTTTTCTGCATTGTAGAAAAATTATCAAGAAAGTTATCAAAAGTTAAGAAAATTATCAAGTGAACTCATTAGACTGGGTTCTACACTAAGCAACAAACAGTAGAAAGTGGTGGGCTTAAATCCACAATAATGTCTACCATTTTGGACCCCTTGGTTCTCCTGTTATGGAAATCTAAATATGTATCTAGCATGACTGGTCTTTCAATGCATATTTTTGAATTAAGATTGGTGGTTGAAAGAAATCGTAACAGGCATCCTTTTTAAATGCTTTTTTGGTTAATTGAATTGACTAGTTTATCTTTGAAAAAGCATATTCCAACATGTTCTAAAATTGTTAATGGAAACAAATACATTTGCAGATAAATTATTGATATTCTTACTTTCTGGTTTGATTCCTAGTACCTAACAAAAAATTTGTTTTCCTCCTGGATGCTATCATTCTGAATGTTTTTTCCTCCCCAAAGCTCATCTCTGATTCCTCCATTATCACTATTTACTAAAAAGTAACAGAGCCATCACCATCTATCAAATCCTATTTTCATTTATACCCACAAGAACTTACACTGTTGAAATTTTTGAGATTTTAGCTCTTTCATTCATAATGAAATTTATACATTGACTTCTCTGCATATATTCATCAACTCACAAAATCAGACCACCTTCATTCAAATTTCTTGCATCCTCCCCCTTTCTCTTAGTATAGACACACAACATATCCAAGTGGCAATAAGACTTGGTTGCCATCCTTAGTCATACCTGTGCCACATAGAGCATTCCCTGCTAAAGGTAAGGTCAGTGTGGGTCATTTTGGCCATTATGCCACAAGCACAACCAAAGTCCCAATGTAGCTTGCAGGTTTCAGAAACAACTTAAAAAAAATAGAGTGAGTTCTTTTGTTCATGTCTTATTTATGGTAGGATTATTCCTCTTTATTAATTTCAGTGAGATTTAGGAAAATACTATTTTTATCACGAACAGTGAAAACAAAAGTCTGTAACATACGGATGTGAACATTGAATCATGTGAAAGTAAATGTGAGCTCATGCATGTATGTTAACATATATTAAGCATATTCATCCAGCAGTGTGTGTGTGTGTGTGTGTTTGTGTGTGTATACACACACATATACACACCTTCCACTAAGTTATTTGGAGAATGCAAGGAGAAGTACTGGTCAGACATAATTTCACAGATTTTTCGGGAAAGGTAGATTTCTAAAGCACTAATATTGAATGAGAAATAATGTGCAATCAAAGGTAAAGACTACAGGACTCTCTCTTCTCACCTAATGTCCATAGTTCTGGTAAAACAATCCTGAATGCCATTGGTTTTTGATAACACATGTTCTTTTTGGAAAATCCTTCCTTCCCTTCCAGTCCCTCCACTGATCCTTTTGTTGTATGTTCCCCCCACAGCATGTGATTGCCATCCCGTGGGTGCAGCTGGAAAAACCTGTAATCAAACTACAGGGCAATGTCCCTGCAAAGATGGTGTGACGGGCATCACGTGTAATCGATGTGCCAAAGGCTACCAGCAAAGCAGATCTCCCATTGCCCCCTGCATAAGTAGGTGGATGCTCTTTTTGACATCTATACCATAACATAATTAATCCTGAGTCTGGCTTGTTTACTAACACCTAACTGGATAGACTCAGTTTTATTTAGACTGTGTTTGGCTACTCATACAGTACAGTATTCATGGATGTTATTGGTATACACTGCAAATCCAGTAAAAGTGCAATTTTTCAGAGAGATCTCTGGGGTAACACACAGGGGAGAGCAAAGCCAATAGCAGAGAAAAAAAAACTTCAATGAATTTGGAAATCACACTGGATTTACTATAATTCAGATTCATTAAAGGAATAATGAGTGCAATAGCTGCCTTGTGATGTTTTGCATTCACTTTGCATATAAATTTAGAGTGAACATGCAT